TCTATCACACAATAAAATACATACTATGTTATTTATCATATGTAATTCATAATTAAATATATATTTATAAAATATGTATAAATTTATAATCTGAGATTTATATAAGCTTAATTTAATTCCTATTAATTTCAAATCTTTTTCTAATTGTAGACATTTTAGTTTTGCTAATTTTTACATATTTAATTCGGATGTGAAGAGTCAAGGGCTAGAGAAAATTGGATGAGACCATTATTATGATATTCTCTAGACACACCCAGCCTCCCAACCACCTCAGGGTCCCTAATGTGGGCATGCTGTGAGGGTCCTGCTCAAGTGGTTTTCACAGTTCAACAGTTCTGTATTATTGCCAATTTTACCACTCCAGTCATGATGAAATCTCTCCAGACTCCACCGACTGACATTGTCCATCTTAGAGTCTCCGTTGCCCAGGTATTCACTGCCAAATCTTGATTGATTTGTCCTGTCCTCTGTCCTCAGTTATGGTACCAGGTGTCTTGTGCAAGCTGCAGTGTTCTGTCATATCCTCCATGTGATTCTGGATATGCTGTCTACTGCTCCATCTAAGCCACTGAAGAGGCTCAGCTCTGACACATGCATTCCACAGTCAGACGATGCTGCACTTTCCTCAATGGTTGGCATTCTGAGTCCAGCGATTCAGTTTGGGGGATTCCCAAAGAAACTCCAGCCCTGTCTTCTATGTAAACTAATGGGTGTTGTAGTCCAGCTTGATCCTGCCTACCACACAGCCCCCACACACCAATCGAAGCTGAAGCCTAGTGAGAGCAAGCTGCAATAACCTCCACCAGGTCTGCCTCCTGTCCTGGTTCCTGTGCTTGCTAGTGTGTACAGGGGCTTGTCCTGTCTATCCCATATCCCATTCAGTTGTCATATGTATCAATGGGCATTGAAGTCTAGTCCGACCAAACCAGTCCCCTATCCAGCCCAAATGTATGCTGGTGGGTGCCACTCTTTCTAGCCATGCCTGTCCCAGTCATGGTTCTCATGCTCAACAGTGGGAGTGGCAACCCAAGAGGGAGGTGCCCACTGTTTCCCTATGGGTCCATCGCACTCCTGGATCTTGCATTCTCTAGGTGATATTGCAGTTTAGCTTGATAGAGTTTCCCCCACCCGCATTCCAGCATCTGTAGCTGATGCTGCTGCAGAGCCCAACCAACCCTCACCCTCTCCGGGTTATGCATGTACCAATAGGTACAGTTTGCTCAGCCTGGCTTGTCCCTAATCTAGCTTACTTGCAGGTCAACAGAGGCTGTAGCCCTGCCCAGCCTGGTCTTCCCCCAATCCCAGCTCCCACACTCACCAGTGGGAATAGTGGCCCATCAGGGGAGCTGCCTAAAGCCTTCCTACTGGGTTTGCCCACTCAAACCCAAGGCCTCATGTGTGCTGGTTGAATGCTGCAGCCCAGAGTGATATGGCCTACCTCACCTTGAAATTTGCCAGTGGGTGTTATATCCTGGCCTGGCCTGGCCCAGCGTGCCTCCAGTTCCAACTCACACTGGTGAGGACTACAGCCTAGTCAGCCCAGCCAGCCCTCAGTCCTGGTCTTAATGTGGAGTGGCTGGTATTGAGGCCTGACCTGGCATGACCCATACACCATTCTGGCTCTCAGATTTGCCAGCAGGTGATATGAACTGGCCCAGCCTGGCTTGCCCCAGACCTGAGCCAAAGGTAAGCCCATGGGTATCATGACCTGACCTGGTCTGGACTGCTCCCTTTCTTGTTTCTTGTGCTCACCTACAGGGACTGTGTCCCAACAGAGGAGTTGCCAAGTTTCTCCATCAAAATCTCAATGTCAGATCTTGTGCATACTGGTGGGTCCATGGACCGCACCTACTTAATCTACCTCCTGTTCTAGCAGGAACTGTGGCCTTTCCTGACCAGCACTCACCCATTCTGGTTCTTATTGTTGGGTTCTATAGTCTAGCCATGTGTGGTCCATACCCAGACACAGCTCAGGCATGGCTCAGAAGGGACAGAGACCTAGCCCAGCCCATCCTAAACCCCACCTCCTGGTTCTCATGAGCTCCAATGGGTGCTGGAGTCTAGCCCAGTCTTGCATGCTCCAGTCCGAGTCCACACTAGTGCCGAGGGAGACTGTATCCATATCCAGACCAGAGCGCTGCACCCACTCTGGCCCCTGCACTCACTCAGTGGAACCCACAACCCACACAGTGTCTGCCCTTATCTCCCCAACCAGGCCTGATCCAAGCCACAGATCTCATGCGTTCTATTCTAATTAGCCCAGTAAGCCCAGTGGTAGCTCTGATTCAGCTTGGCATAGCCCCTCCCTTGTCTTGGCCTTTGCCTTCAGATGCTGTAGCCTGGCCTGGCCCAGTCAGCCCCCAGTCCCTACTCTTGCTAGCAGATATTGCAACCTGGCCCTGCTGTCTGCTCTCATCCAGGGCTCATGCGAATCGGTAGGTGTGGCATCCCAGCCCGATATGACCTGCACTCCATCTTGGTTTCTGTACTTGCTAGTGGGCTATGGTTTGCTTGCCCCTGCACTGTCTGTCCCCTTCCAAAACTAATTCACACACTTGTCAACAGATGAAGTTACTCTTCCCAGCCTGCCTGACAACCAGGCCCGGATCATGTGCTCATCAGTGGGAGCTAGCTATGACCCACTGGGGCAGTTTCCTAGATTCCCCCACTCGGACCACTCCCAGACCCAGAACTCATGCAAAAGTGGGTGCTTGGCCATTATGCAATATTCCCTACACTATCCTGTCCTTTGTATGAGCTTTTGCTGCCTGACCTTCCCCACAGCATGTTTTAGGGTGCTCATTCAGGTGCTACAGCCTGGATCTGCCCCACTTGTTTCCAGCCCTGGTGCTGGTGAGCATCAGTGAGTTTTATAGTCATGCCTAGCTCTGCCTATCACTATCCCAACTCTCAGCAGGACTTGTATTTCCAGAGGGTTTGGCCCACATATTCTTCACAGCATCCATCCCTGAACCTGGCTCTCTTGCATGTTGGTTGGTCATGGTCCAGTCTAATGTGACCCATCCCCTAATCTGACACTTACTGTCAGGTGTTGGGATCTAGCCCTGCCATACAGGCCCCCAGCCATAGCTTTGCATGTGTGCTGGCATATGCTGGTCAGTCATGATCCATGCTAACAAGCCCAACCCAGGACTTCTATGTGGGCTGGTGAATCATTCTGACCCATAAAAATTTTCAGGTCTCTCCCCTCCAAACCACCGGGTCTTAGTCCCCTCGCTTATTCGGTACTACAGTGGCCTTTTCATTGGGTGTTGCTCAGGATTCTCACCTACATGTACAGTAGCCTTATGCATGGATGTCCCATACTCTCAAGACTCTAGAGTTTGTCCCTGGGTGGCCAATGGGCACAGCCTGGCATTGGTTGGTGTGCCCACCTGGCCATGACTCTTCCCCTGGCTAGCAGAGGTGTATGGGGAGTTAGGATCCCTAGCAGGAAGCCTGGGCCAGCCAGACATCTGTGCCACTGCTCAGTTACCTGGACTCCACCCACCAACATCTAATGTCAAATTTTGAAACGATTACTCATTAAACACAATGGAGCACATGTAATTTTTCTGTATAAAATTGCTAACCCAGATTAATCAGCATGCCCAGAAACAATGAAAGATTAGCATGTAGCATCGGGATATAAACCCATCACAGGACAGGTCAATGCAAGCCAACTTTAAACCTTCCTTGGGATTGCATCTGGGCTAGCATTGACAATTTTAAATGAGGAAACATACTGAATTGTAGTTCCTAATGTAAAATATGACTTTTGAATGATTTGACTTTTGAAAGTGTTACAGTAATTTTGCATCTAGGTAGGGAATAGACAAGTGTTAACGTTTTAAACAATTATACTTTACCAATTTAAACCCTGAGTCTGAGGAAGACATTTATATAGAACATAAAACACACCACTGAAAACATTTTGTTACAGACTTACATAAATCATAATGTAGATGGCAAAAGATTTAAACTGGTTGTGATTTATGATAACCCAGCATCTATAGCATTTTAATAAGATTTTACAGAACTTTATACACTCTAGGACTAGGGCCAGCAATTAAATAGTTCTATAATTTTAGCTAGCTGTATTTTGACAAATGGAGAACTGGAGTCTTAAGTAGGTGAGTAGAGAAATCCCAAATAATTTAGTGAAAGAGACATGAGCTTTGTTTTAGAGCACTCAGGGTATCCTATCCCAGCAAAAACTTGAGAGAAAAATTGGTAAGCAGCTCTGTACAGAGACTAGGCTGAGAAGTTATAGGCCAGCCAGCTTCTCCCTTGGATATTCCAAACTTCTGGATTAGTCTCTGTCTCTGTCACCTGAGCTTACTGGAGCTGGCTAGACAATAGATGAAGTCACCAATTAAGCAGAAACTATCTAAAGGAGATGTTTCATTCTTTTTTCTTTTAACAGATTTCAAACTTAGAGATTACTTATGTTTAGATATCAATTCTAATGTCAGCATACATTAGATATTAATGCTAAAAATTTAAACAATACTATAACAGTACTTAAAACATTATAGCCAATTATGTGGTGCCATCTCAGCTCAGGCTGGATACCTGATCAGGATACCCCCCACCCCTAGCTAGTAGGGGAGGCGCAGCCTATCTCTAGAGCCAGGAATTTAAAGTGCCAGCTGCTGCAAAGTGGCTAGCACCATCTTGGCTTGGGTGGCCAGTGTGCCAACAGTGCCAGGCAAAGTCTGTTGGCTGTCCTGGGATTTTATGGGTGTGAAATTACTGCCTAGGGACATCCATGGATAAGGCAACAGTGTGTGTGGGTGAGAAATGACTTCTGAGGGATTCCAAACAATAGGACCGGTGTACTGGCAGATATGTGAGAGAATGAGATTTGGTGGTGTAGAGGGGGAGAGACTGGAAGACCTGTATGGGTCAGACTCATGCACCAGCCCATATGGGAGTCCTGATTTGGGCTTGTTAGGATGGAATATTGCTGACCACCACATGCACGTCCATGTGAAAACTAGGGCTGGGGCCTGTCTGGCAGGGCTAGATCCCAGGACCTGAATGAATGTCAGAATAGGGGACAGGTCGCTTTAGGCAGGGCCATGACACTAACCAGCACATGGGAGAACCAGGTCCTGGGGTAGATTCTATGGGAGATTTGTGAGTGCAACCCTGTGGAAATACAAATCCTGCAGGTTGGCTCAAGAATTGGGGTGGTCTTGTTAAACTGCAATCTCCACTGGCATGCCGAAGAACTGTGGATGGGAACAGACCTGGCTGGGGAGATTAGGGGACTCCCCATCCGGGCTGAAATTCCTACTGATGAGCACAAGAGCTGTACTGAACGCAGCAGGTTAGATTGGACATGGCTATAGCCACCCTCAGCATGGATGTAGACTAGGTCTGAGGAGCTACAGACTGGCATACACTCCAGCATTCACTGGTCCACCCAATAGTAATAGCCAGAAAGGGTATGGGCTGGTTGAGTAAGGCCACTGTTCCTGCCAGGACAAGAGGTGGACAAAGACAGCCTGGCCAAGGACCCCACTGGTATGTGTGAGATCTGCCACTGGGATGAGATATGAGAGGAGCTTGGGAAACTCCTTTGTAGGGATGTACTCCATGCAGGTGAGCACAAGAACCAAGTCAAGGAGCAACGGTAACCATACTGGGTTACAATACCCGCAGGCATACATGTGGGTCAGGTCTGGGTACAGACCTGCCTGTGCCAGTTCATAACATCCACTGGCAGATCTGAGAACCAGGACAGGGTGCATGAGGGGCCAGGTCAGGCTGCAATACCAGCCTGCTCACACTGAGGCAATGCAATAGTGGATGCTGAGGTAAGGAGAGCCATGTCAGCCTGGGGTCAGTGGATGCTGGCTTCATGAGCCACAGGGGTGGAGGATCTAGTGGGGCTCGGGTCACCTGGCCTGGGTCCTGCCTATGAGGTGGGTGTCAGGTTCATGAGCCCCAAGGGTAGGGTATCTGCTGTGACTTGGGTCATATGGCTTAGGTCTTGGGGCCCGCCTGAGTGGCGAGTGCCAAGTTTGTGTGTCCCGGAGGTGGGGGATCCAGTGAGGCTTGCGTCGCCTGTCCTGGGGCCTGAGGCCCACATGTGAGGTGGATGCTGGCTTCGTGGGCCACCTAGGGGGGAGATCCAGTGAGGCTCATGTTATCTGGCCTTGGTAAAGACCAAGGGGTCCTGCCTGCTAGTGAAAAAGGTATAATAGTAGAAGCAGGCCCTGATGCACAGGTAGAGTATGGCAGCCCATTTGGTACTCTCGCAGAGGAAGGAGAACAGAGCAAATTGGACACTTACTCCAGCAAAAAATGACAGCAAAAAGCTGGGTGAAGGGAGACTTGAGGTTGATGATATCAGCCAATGGATATTGGGAGGGTTGCCTCGTCCTTGGATCAGTGAAATCAACAGCATTTCAGAACTCTCCAAACCACTTAATCAGAGCCCTCAGAACATGCACTATAGCAGGACCCTGGGTTGATACTGGGTGTGGCTTCTCCCTTTAACTCCCTCCTTCCCACAGAAACAAGAAGAAATGGAAAATTAGGAAACAATGATTTCACCCACTTTTCCCTGATCATCAATCCTTCCAACCCTGGTCAACCCTGTAATCATTATCAAATAAATAAAATAAATTTAAAACTATAGCCAATTATATTACACATAAAGCTTATAAGATTCATTTCTGTAAAATATTCTGTGACTTCCCCACCCTTTAAGCATTTTGTCCTAGCTTTCCCTTTCCATTATATCATAGCCATTCTCCTGTAGGATAAAATATCTTACAAGCAATGCTCTACATTAAAAAAAAAATCTCTTTCATAACCTTTCTCACCAAGAACACAGTCTCAGGTTTGCAACCATTTTCCATTTGCTAATTCCCTTGATTTACGTTTTGAAACAATCATTTAAAATCCAAATTAAGACATTTTCTTTAAAAAGCATATCAAATTTTAAACACTATTGCTTTAAGCAGTCTTAAATCATTTTTTTGTAAATAGCAGATTCATAGGAACATTTTTTCTAAGATTTATTTTATTTTTACTGCAAAGTCAGATATACATAGAGTAGGAGAGACAGAGAGGAAGATTTTCCATCTGATGATTCACTCCCCAAGTGACTGCAACGGCCAGTGCTGTGCTGATCCGAAGCCAGGAACTTTCTCCAGGTCTCCTATGCGGGTGACCTCTACTCTCCCAAAGCTTTGGGCCATCCTCAACTGCTTTCCCAGGCCACAGGCAGGGAGCTGGATGAGAAGTGGAGCTGCTGGGATTAGAACCGGCACCCATATGAGATCCCTGCGTGTTCAAGGCAATGACTTTAGCTGTTAGGCTACTGTGCCAGGCCCTCATAGGAACAATTCTAAAACAAACCTGAATTGTCTTTTTCAAAGAATTTAAGAGATTAGAAATCATTTGCTTCATCTACCTTTGCCCAATTTATACTTAGGAACATTTCATGACCAGAAAACACAGAAATCATTACATGCTAGCAATTTAAAATTTTTCATAAAGCAACTCTAGCTGATAAAATAGAGGCATAAAGTTCAGATCTACTTCAAGATCATTCCGCATTCAGTGTCAATGGGCACTGAGGACAAACAGTGTTACTGTAAAGAGCATACTTTAGAGCTCTTATTCCACATAAAAATATAGCAGGTACCGGACAACAATTAATATAGACACTAAACTAGTGGCCACCAATAAACAGAACCAGAATAAAGCCAACCAAAGGGCACGGGGCAGTATCTTGCCAATGGCCTGGAATTGGGAAGTAGTGTTGTCCTCTCAAAATCCAAATTTACTTCTAGAGGATTTCCAGGACCTAGGAAGAGCTCTCCACTCCAGGTGATTCTGCTAGCGTTGGTCTCCCTGGACTCTGACTTGCTCCTGTTTGGGGACTGAGGAACCAAGGCGAGGGAGGAGGCAGATACTTTTTCAACCAGCAAGGGGGCTAATCAACTCAAAAAGAGGGCCATTGACTAGAACAAAAAGTTGTTAATTTCTCTTCAAAAACAGAATCTCCAGATTCAGTGGCTTTCTCTTTGAAGTCCTTGAAGTAATTTGATGAGATCCAGTGGCCTAGGAGTAGAATTATTTTGACCCATGATATTGAGAGACAGTAAAACAACACAGACAGATAACACTAGAAACACACAAATCACAGGTGGACTAGAGATCTTGAAGCCAGCAGGCTGTGACACCTGCTTAAAGGTGGGATTTCTGCCATGAAAACTAGACCAGATGGGGTCCTCCGGCATCCTGATAGGAGCTGCAAATCAGGATCTATAGTCTTGTCTGGTAGACCCTCTTGAGTCCAGATGGGGCACCCCCAGTCCTTACCTCTCCAGTCTGGAGAAAAGACCCTGTTTCAGACCTTTAACTTTTCCTGGACAGGTGGTGAGTAGGGCAATTTGTGGAAAGGGCCCTCTTTCAGGGTCTTTAACATTCCTGGCCAATGCACCAAATGTTGCATCTACTCAGCTGCTAAAACAGAATGTCACACTTACCACTGGCAATCACAAAAAAATTTTATATAATGAAAGGTAAGGAAGATAGTTGACCAACAGGGATCAACACATCTTACCCAAGTGCAACCAGCCTCACCACAGGCCTAGTTGCTAGGAGAGGACCAAAGCTGAGGAGCGAGTGGGATGGCTCTCCCCATTGCTCTCCACTTTATTTTTTTTTAAAGAGAAACAAGCACAAATTAGACTGTAGGGAGGCAGAAAGAGGTGATGGAGAGCTGACAGCTAAGCTAGAGAAGGGTGTCCAACATGATGTGTGGGGGTGGAGGCCTGTGCCGGAAGCTGCTAGGTGAATATAATGGGTAGCCCCTCCCACCCAGCAACCCTAGTCTTGAAAGCTGGGCCAGGAGATGTCACTGTTTCTTTGCAAGAATACTGGGCCTTCAAAATTCTAGTTGAGAATAAAAGTGAAAGAGACTCTGGGCTGTTATTAATTTTGGTTTTGGTGAATGTGGGGAGACACCTCTTTGACAGACAAGCTTCTGATTTGTCTGAGTCTCAAAGCCCAATGTCTTGGGGTGGGGAGAGAAGAGAAAAGTGTGTTAGAAAGGACAACAGGGGCTTGCTGGAGGGGCTGAGACCCTGGACAAGCCTGGGAAGGGGACACCCTCTCAGCCCCCAGAGGGAGACAGAGATGTTCCTGAAGCCCATCTGCTTCCCAGGTTTGTGATAACAGACTTGGCGGGGAGAGAAGGGTGGAGAAAGGTAGAGGAAGAAAGGGGGGGAGGCACTGGTGAACCTTAAATAAGTTTTTAAAATGCTTCTTAAGAAAGAAAGAAGGAAGCAAAGAAACAAAGAGAGAAAGAAATGTCCTATTAAGAAGTTGGTTGAACAGGTCACTAAAAATCTTCCCTTGAGTAGATGGCTCCAACGCGAAGTGGCATTTCTGTTCCTTTGCCCTTAGCCTGTGGTGGGTGGTGGGGTGAGTACAGGTGACGGTGTGTGGGGATCTAGGGTTAAGTTGCGGGGGGTGGGGTGGGATTTTTCTGCACCTGGCCGCTGGACACATCAATAAGACCCAGTCATGCTGCTGTTGATGACTTCTTTAAAACAGGCTAAAGTGGGCTGGTAGGGGCAGGAGGGTGGGGTGGGGCAGGGGTGAGGTTGGATGCAAGGAACTCTGGGGGCCCTCTGGCTGTTCAGTCCAACCCTACCACCTCTACCCACCCCTGAAAGAAAAAGAAAGAAAAAGGAAAACCCATGGGGACACAGGCTAAGTCCTAAAAATCAATAAACTCGTCGCCACACTTCTCATTGATGGAGATCTGGATCTCCTCCTCGTCATAGTCGTCAAAGTTACTTGTGTCCCCCGGACCTTTGCACTTTGGTATGAACGGAGCTTCCACCTTCCTTTGGTAGAGTGCGATCCAGTCTATGGTGGCAAACCACTTGTGGTTCTTGATGTCCTTGACCCCGTTCTTGAGGTTCCCAAAGCGCTTGGTGAGATCCACCTGCAGCAGGTTCCGCAGCAGGTCCTTCAGGTCGAAGCTGAAGTGAGACGGGAACCGCACCTTCCCGGAGACAATCTTCTCGTAGATCTGAATAAACTGGCTGGCAAAGAACGGAGGGTAACCGGCCACCATCTCGTAGATGAGCACTCCCAGGGCCCACCAGTCCACGGCCCTATTGTAGCCTTTGCTCAGGATAATCTCGGGGGCCAGGTACTCGGGGGTCCCACACAGGGTCCAGGTGCGACCCTTGACACGTTTGGCGAAACCGAAATCTGTCACCTGGATGTAGCCCTGTTGGTCGATGAGGAGGTTCTCGGGCTTGAGGTCTCGGTAGATGAGATCCAGAGAGTGCAGATACTCGAAGGTTAACACGATCTGGGCCGCGTAGAACTGAGCCTGGGGTTCGCTGAACCTTCCACTCCGCCGTAGGTGTGAGAACATCTCTCCGCCTGGCACATACTTCATGACCATGTACAAGTTGGAGTTGTCCTTGAAGGCGAACTCAAGTTTGACGAGAAATGGGAAATTTACGGCCTGCAAGATGCGTTTCTCATTCAGGGTGTGCTCACTCTGTTTCAGCTTCACCACCTTCTGTTTGTTAAGTATCTTCATGGCGTAGTGTTTTCCGGTCTCTTTGTGTTTGACAAGCATGACGCGCCCGAAGGAGCCAGTGCCGAGGGTCTTGATGCATTCAAAGTGATCCAACTTGGCCGTGTTCTGAGTGGGATTTTCCCATTTTTTAAGAAAATCTTCTTTGGCTTTGGCGAAGAACTCGTTCACACTTTCCTCACTGCTCTTCTTGGTGGAAGCTGTGGTGGTGGCGATCGCGGTGGTGGTGGTGGTGTTGCCCATCTCGGCGGCGGTGGTGGTGGTGGCTGGGGCCCGGCCCGGGAGTTGTGTTGCGGTGCGGTGGGTGTCAGGTGGTGATCAGAAGCCCCGGAGCGTGCTGGGTGGCGGCAGCAGTGGGCCCCCTTTGACTGGCTGTGCTGACTATTGTGCCGCGATCCCCGCCAGCCCGCCAGCCCCTGGTCTCTCTGCAGGAAGTGCGATTGTTAAGACGTCACTTTAGCCATCTGCATTCCATATCAGAATGTTCAGGCTCAAGTTCCAGCTCGTCTGTGAATTTCAGTTTCTTGCTAAGCACACTCTGGAAGGCATCAAATGATGTTTAATTGTGATTCTGTCAGTCATGAGAGATATCGAGACTGAGGGTGTGGCTCCAGGTTGCATTCTTGGCCCAGTCCCAGTGGTTATGGACACTTGGAGAGTAAACCACTGGTTGTGAGCACCCTCTGTGTGTCTGTAGCTCTGACTCCCAAATGCTAAAAAGAAAGCAAGATGATAAAGAAGTGAATAAATAGCAGACAACATTATGTCTAGGAAAAAAGTTGAGTGTGACTGTATGAAAACCAAAAGCTTACTGAGTTTTGAGACAATTGTACTGTCAAAGATACTGCAGGCTACAAGTGAGCATTAACCCTTTGGCTGTCTTGCCTCTACCAACAGGGAGAAGACTGAGGAAAATTATGCCTCTGCCTAGGAGGCAAACTCTCCTGAACTCATATTAACGGAAAGGTCATGGAGAGAAATGGACAAGGAAGCTTCCCATTGAGAGAGGAGCAAGATCTAATTCCGATTGCCACTTCACTGCCAGGACAGCGTGTCTTCAGACTGCCTAACCTTTATTGTTCTACCACGTGTCAGAAAACACTGAATAACTTTTATTCTCTTACTTCTTAATGGGAATTGTGACTAGCGTTTTTCCACCCCTGATTCACCATTGAGTGCATCCTGATGATGAGAAAGAGGAAGACAGATTAACATTTAGTTGAATAGCAGCCTGCTGTATTTTGAGCTGAATGTGCAACTGGATTGAAAGAATATCAGTAGGTTCTTCATAAACAGTTGTCAATCCAGGGGTTATTTTTTTCCCAGACTGCTTTACTTCTTCTAGACAGATATTTGTGACTTGTTCTGACCAATGTAATGTAAGTTGAGATGATTTTTCTTTTAAAACCAGGTCAAGGAGCTTAAGAGTGAGATATGCCCTTTTGTTTCATCTCTCTCTTCATGTGGAAGCTGGGTGCCATAGAACTCAAAAGTATGGAAGTCACAACACGTGGAGGAATTTGGACTTCTGAATCACCCTGTGGGAAGATCTACCCATTCATCACTAACAATGGCTCTGGTTTCTGATTTGATAGGAAAGTAATCTTTTAATTTATTAAGCCATGGAAATGATGACTTTTATTTGATAAAACAGTAAGATCCTTATCTAGAATTATATCAATAGTATCCCTGTTGTACAACTGAGAAAGTAGGTTAAGAAGGTTGAAAACACCCCCATGGCTATTTAGGTGTGAAATCACAGTTCTTACCAGCATATTTAACTGTGGAAATCCTCTGGTCTTCAGTAAGACCTTATCTCAGGAAATGGTGCTAACAGAGATAGTGACAGCAGTGTTGTCCTTTCTGAAGTTACTTGATGTTGCAGTATAAAGTCATTCACAAAGTAAGTAGATGGTAGTAAACAAGCAGTCAGAAAGAAGCTGGCATGCTAAAGCAGTAGGTTAAGCCACTTCCTGTGACACTGGCATCCAAGATCACAGCACTGGTTCATATCCTAGATGCTCTACTTGTTATCTAGCTCCCTACTAATGAGCCTAGAAAAGTAGTAGCAGCTGCTTTGTGTACTTAAACTTCTGCCATCCTTTTGGGAGACCCATAAAAAGCTCCAGGCTTCTGGATTTTGGGTTCATCCTGGCCTGGCCCAGCCTTATCTTTGGAATGAACCAACAGGTTCTCTCTCTCTCTCTCTCTCTCTCTCTCTCTCTCTCTCTCTCTCTCTCTCTCTCTCACACACACACACACACACACACACACACACACAGAAAGCAAGAGAGAGACTCTCCCTTGAAATCAATACTTTTTAAAAATCAGAACACACCTCTAGTTTTTAAGAAGGAGCTCCTAGATTCTAAGAAAGCAGTTGGAAAGTTGGAACTTGTTATTTGAAAGGCTCCATCTCCATCAAGAAGGGGTGGGTCTCCCAAATCCTGTTGATGCCACATTCATCACTTTTTCATTCAACCAACACAAATGGAGGTCTGACATGTATTAGAGTCTGTTACAACCAAACAAAATAAAAATCCTAATGGTGCTTCCATTCTGTATGTGAGGAGACAGACAGTAAATGAAATAAGTGCAATTACAGTCAGTGCTGAATAATAATAATTGCCATGGAAAATAAAGCAAGCAAGCTGTCAAAAAGGTACAAAACAGTTCAAATATAATGATTACTTCCTGTAGGCTGGAGAAACAAGGGTTACTCTCTGTTTGACAATACAATTCCCAGAACCCGAGATGAAACACCACCTCAAGGTCTAAGTTGATTTTTGCTACCTTGTCACTTATTTGTTTTATGTGCTTACAAATTATTAACTTTGCAAGGTGAGATTTTGCAAGGCCTTTTCTCAACCTGAATCTTCCTACCTCATCCTGTTTCAGCAATAGTGTTATCTGCTTTTCACCTTGCTACTGTCCAAAGAACGGGTCTGTTCTTTGCTGATTGTGCCCTTGTTAACAAATAACTCCCTTTGATGTTGTCCTACTTCTTTCTTGCCTCCATCTCAGTTCCTTCCCACTTTTTTCTTGGAGCCAGATAAACATTGCAAGTGTGAGTTTTGGATTTGGAAATACCTGAGTTCAAACCATGGCCCTATCACTTGCTCAATCGTTGCAATACTGGTAAGAAGAAAAGGGGTATTAGGTAGAGAGTGGAGGAAGAAAATTATTAATACTAAATTGAGGACATTGGTCTTCACAAATATATCTTCTCTTCAGGACTATGAGTGTAAATGTGTTTTATTACTATAGATTCTGTCTTACTAATCCACACATAAACTGTGATCATGGTTGTTAAATTTAATACACAGATTGAAGAATATAAAACATAATCACATTTGATCTGGAGAAAGTATGACTATGACTGAGTGATTGCAGAATTGAAACTCAATGAAATAATTGATAGAATGTTGAGAAGTGAGGGAATTTGTCTTGGGTTGAACATTTATTCAGGTAGGATTGTTTGGGAAGAAGGTCAATGTAAATAGGGTACAGGGATCTTGAGCAGTTATACACATGGATTCTAGTAGAGATGCATTGCCTTTTGGAAACCCATCATCAACTTTATCTTTCCATGTAGTTGTCCAGTTTTTCCTTAAAAGAACTATGCCTTATCCTTTAAAGTTTTTACTCACATCAGTATTATTCCTCTTCTTTAACTAACAGGTAGGCATAAAACAGATTGAGACTAGGATGATATACTGTGGTTCTATTTTTAAAATGCATTTATTTATTTGAAAGAATAACAAAAAAGAAGACACACACACACAGAGTCTTCTATCCACTGGTTCATGCCCCAAATGGCTGTAATAGCCACAGCTGTGTCAGACCAAAGTTGGGAACCAGGAACTTCTGGATCTCCCTCAATTGGCCAATTTCTGCTGCTTTCTCAGTGCATTAGCAGGGAGCTGGATCAAAAGCAGAGCAGCTGGGACTCACACCAGTGTCCATGTATGATGCTGCTCATGTTGCACGCAGAGACTCTGTCACAGCACAACACCATTCCCTACAGCTAGATTTCAATTTTCACAATATAGTTAGAAATTATGAAAGTGTTTGAAGCCCAGGCAATTGACATGCTAGTGTTCTAATGAGAGCAACAATTCTGTGACAATGCTTTTCTACATTAAAAAAGATATATCTTTATTTGAAAGTCAGAAAGAGAGGGAAAGAGAAATAGAGCTCCTTCAACTGCTACCTCATTCCCCCAGATGTCTGTAACGGCCAGGATAAAGCCAAACCAAAGGTAGTATCCAGGAGCTTCATCTAAGTTTCTCATGTGGGTGGTAGAGGCCCAAGTACTTGGACCATTTTCTGCACTATTTTCTCCCTAACAACATTATCAGGAAGTGAGATAGGCAGTGGAGCAGCCAGGAAACAAACTGGTGCCTATATGGGATGCTGGTTTCTCAGGTGGAGATTTTACCTACAATTCATAATTTTTTTTCAGATTTATTTATTTTTATTGGAAAGGCAGATCACATTTATGGAGAGAGGGAGAAGCAGAGAGAAAGACCTTCTATGTACTGGTTCACTCCCCAAGTGGCTGCAATGGCTGGTGCTGAACCAATCCAAAGCCAGGAGCCAAGGGCTTCTTCAGGGTTTCCCACGTGAGTGCAGGGTCCTAAGGCTTTCAGCCATCCTCTACTGCTTTTCCAGGTCACAAGCAGGGAGCAGTTGAATGGGAAGTGGAACAGCTGGGACAAAAACTGGCACACATGCGGGATCCCAGAGCTTGCAATGTGATGATTTAACCATTGAACCATTGTGCCAGAGTCCAATTTTCTGTTTTCTTAGAGCCCAGATTTTTGGTACCCTGTTGTTTTTCTGAGTCCTTAGTGTCACCATAATAAGTTCATTTTTTGCATAAATTTGCCTGAATTGTTTTCTATTTTTCCTAGCACTGAAGTTATTTGGCAGAAAGGCAATGTATCACTGATGTATGTGAGTACAGACTGCATATCTTGGGTTTGAGTTCTAACTACACAACTTATCCTCATTGTGTTTCCAATTTCCTATTTGGGAAAAGGAAATGATAAATTGACACATAAATCATAGTTAATGTGCAGTAAGTGCCAAATAAATGTTGAATTTTATTGTTATGTGCCATTTTAAAAAATAATTATTCTTATCCTTTGCTCCTTCATTTCACAAGGAGTTGCCCCAGGTTGCATGGGCAGCAGCAAACACTGATCAGAATAGTGGCTAGAACTGCATGAGAGCAAGATACTAAAAACATGAGCTTGATTTACATGGAAAAGAGTCAGGTGCTGGTACTAGGACAAAGCTAAATGCTTAAATTGCTTTTTGATGATGTTTAGCTGTTGATTTGGAATCTTCTAAATATAATAGTGTAGCGAAGGAGAGTTCTTTCCGTCATCTGCTACTAAATGCTGCCACTGAAGCCTTCTGTCTTTCCCCTCTTTGGACAAGTTATTCTCCAGGTGATGTTGACTGACACCTGCTCTTTTTGCCTTTATTTACCTGTTGTCTCCTGTAATCAAGAAGTCATCAATGCATGAGGAGTTAGACTTTAAGTTTTGGGTCTGAAAATGTTCCATGATTCATAACATCTTCATTGGCCTGCCTACGAGGTCTAAAATAGTTTGTCAGTGTTATTTAGTTAGTGTTTACTTTGAAAACACCAAGGATTTAAAATTTTTCCCCATTAAGTACTTTCCCCTGTGCATGTGGCAGCTCCAAGTTTTACTGCAAACAAGGCTCAAATGTTTCTTTCACTGCTGCTGGAGCCAGACTACAAGAGAAAAATATAATAATAAAAGACCTTAACTACTAGGGGGATATCTTTCCCATCTACTTATTCTAATACATATGCCAAGAATCTGACAAACCTCTGGGAGCTTAGATTTATTTAATCATGCATTTTTAAATTTAAAAATACTGTATTTGAAGAGAGAGGGCTTTTAAAATAAAATGTATTTTTAATATACACATATTTATGCAAAGCTGTTAGCAGTAGTTTACCCTAAGTAGCAAGGCAAGAAGTGGATATTGCGTACAAATTGTACTCAAACTTTATACTATATATTTCACTCTTCTTTAACAAGGCACATATGACATTTTTACAATTATATACTCTGGAATCCATAGATTCCTCATTCCAAAGGCATTTTCATAGCCTTTCCATTAAAACTTCCTCTATTTCCTGGGAATTTATTGAGGTCAAATTCCGTAGTCAGTTATTCTAATCAGTTTTTCCATATGCACTTGACATTTGTACCCTTCTTTCATTCAGTCACAGTTAATTGGGGGAAGCTATAACCTTGGTTAAATCTTTCCTCTGTGTCTGTACCTGACAGGCTAATAACAAATGGAAAGAGCACACGTGATAATAAATTAAAAATCACAAATTAAATCAGGTATGTAATGATGCCAGAATGCATTATTTGTTCCTGATCCACTAGATCTCCCATTATATACCTTTTTTTTCTCATCAAGCCTCCAATATTGTTTTTACCATCTTCTCTCTCAGATGATGACCTTGCTTTCAGCTTTTCAAAAAAAAAATTGGAAAAAATTGAGGGAGAATTTCCAGATTCTTATCACTTCTCCTACCCATTTAGCAGTGTGTATATACATATATATGTTTATTTATATATGAATTAGGGTATATGTATGTGTGTATATACATAGACATGCATATATGTATATCCTAATTTCTTCTTGTTTGCAAAGATGATCTTTCTTCCTTTATTCTCTAAA